AATACTATGTCACGTCCTGTATTTTATCTAGCAACCCTAAGATGAGGAAATCAAGGCCCAGAGGGTGAACTGACTTGCAGAAGTCCGTTTTAGAAAAACCCCAAACCAGAAAAAAAGCAATAGCAGAAAGAACAAAGACCCCCCTTACTCCCAAGCGGTGCACAGTGTTCTGTTCTGCAAAGACAGCAATGTCTGTAGTCAAGACGTGTTGAATCAGAGCAAGGAATCAGATTGCTTATGAAAAAAATGTACATGCTTTTCTCTTTATTTATTCTATTTACAATTATTTAACCTAATAATTTTGTTCCCAAAGTGAAATGGCTTAAATGGATCTTCACATCTCCAACCTCAGGTTACCTGAATGGAAGAATTCAAATTCCCTTTTAAGAAATGGTTTATGAAGGACGGACAGACTGGCATTATAATGAGTGCCAACACGCATGTGCCAGTCTTAGAGTTACAATGAGAAGACTCAACGCATCACTATCATCCTCCCAGAGCGTGACTTCCTGTCTCCTGTGATTTCAACATTTTCTGTAAGTCAGAGGACCCCTCATGTAAAATGAAACAATTATTAATAGAAAGCTACGTTATATAAAGAAATCTTATGAATGTTCTATAACGTTACTATCTAAAGAGATCTTTCAAATCAATCAATAAATGGCTAATCGCCCAACAGAAAATTGAGCAGAGAGCACAAAAGGTTAACTCACAAAAGAAGAGGTGCAAATGGCTGATAAGGAAGCTCACAATCTCACTAAAGCAAAGAAACAAAATAAAGCGAGTATAAGGACCATCTTTTTAACCTATCAAATTGGTTCAGCTTTTAAGACGTGATCAGCTTCAAGTTTGTCAAAGGCATTGTTAAATGGGTACCCTTGTGGCAGACAGGGCTACAAATTGAAAGAAACATCCCAGAAGGCAATTTGGATCTTAAAATGTTAATATGCTCCAAAGAATAAAATGGAATTTTAGAATTTTTTCCTGAGTGTAGAGTTATTTACAGTAGTGCAGAATTAGAAAAGATGTAATCATCTAACAATAACGTAGTAACATTCAAGGTGGCCAGGTGGCTCTGGCTCCCTGGGTTGCAGGATCTAGCTCATACCAGCTCTTGAAAGACAATTAAATTTTCAGAAATGTTGTGAAGCTATTGTTAATATGCCATTACTTGAAAAATCAATTAAATAAGCCTATAATTAAATAAGTTATATTTAAAACAAAGGTAATAGATATTTAAAACTCATCTCTTTCTGGTAATTTTAATACATTTTGCTAATATCTATGCTCTCGAGATTACTCACCCCTATGGTATCTATCTCTAAGGTAGGATGATGACATAGCAGTTTGCCACTGTACATCTCTTCCCAACTCCATGTTCAGTGACACTGTTGGAACCTGAAAGCAGCCATAGTCAAAGTATTTACACCACAGGAGTCTGAAGACACTGCAAATCAGGGCTGTTTGGGCTTTTGTTTGAAAGCTAATTATTGAACATTCACCAACACACCATCACTCTGGCTGCGTCAGCCTCAGGTTCAAGTACAATGGGATGGTGACAGCACCCTCAAAAGTACACGATCCACCCCGAGTGGAATATTTTTGCCACATCTCCATCCTTAGAGCCAACACCAAGGCCAGGGAGAAAGTGATACCCATCCTCCATCTTGGAGCTGGGTCAGAGGCCCATCCATGATCCCCACCTGAAAGTCAGGGGCTGTCATTGGAAGAAGGGAGAATGGCTACCAGCGAACGATCAAAATATAGCCCCCATGGCTTGTAAAGCAGTAGCTTACACTTAGTATCTACGTCCCCAACCCACCTCAAGGTCTCCTTCTTCCATTCTTCATGGACAAGAGGCAAGTGGTTCTGGACTAGTGAAGCTCTTGGTACGTGGGGAGAGATGGGTAGGTTCTGATCTGAGACCTCTTCCCCACAGTCTCCAATCTTCCCCTGTGGTGGGATGATGTCCCCACTATCTTCCTCTCGTCCCATTTTTTACTGTTCATGGTTTGCTTCCAACATAGACAAAGGAGACATACATTCTTGTGTAGGTTCCTGAGATTTTTAGAAATGAATTTAAATTATTTTTTCTCTAAAGGTTCCTAATCAAGTGGGGGAGGCATACAGACAAATAATTATGAACGATGTGAAGTGTGCTTTCACAAATATATATACATATATATGTCGCACTGAGAGCTAGTGGGGAGTTAGGAAAATGGGGACAGCTCCCTAGAGAAAAGGACCTGTGGGCTGGAGCTTACCATACAAATAGGAAGCTTGTGGAGAGGAACACAGAGGGACTTTCTCTTCCAAGGGAACGACATGAGCTCTGGCACCACAAGGTCACCCAGCTTCATTTGCTCCCTTTTTCCCAAACTCCAGATACCTCAAGAAAATTTCCCCTCCTCTCTTGCTCTCCTTTCGTTCTGAGCCAAAAATAGAACTCACACATGGGAATGACACCAAAGCACTGTGTGGTACACTGTTGTGCGGGGGAGGAAGAGCACCTGGGCTTTAAAGTGGATCGACAAAGGGTCTGGGCCACTGGCATGACCCCCAGGCTCCTCGGAAGCCTCCAGCGGCTTCCACCACCTCCTTACACGAAACCCGTTCCTCTTCCAGGGAAGCACTCAAAGGAAACAAGTTTTACTTCTTTAGCTTTTCTCTTTGGCTCAATTACTGTTATCCCCACAGCAGACATTTCTGCAACAGTCTCTCAAGCCTGGGGACCAAAGCCCAATCTATAGCTTTGCTTCTATGGGAAAAAGTACTTTCAACTCCCAAACAACCAACTTACAAATAAATGATTGAACTCAATGAGTTTCCTGTGATGTTTTGCACACTTCGGTGCGAAAGGCTGGTAAGTGTGTGTGTCTGAACATTTCTAAATATGGGCGCCAGGTGTTACATTTTCAGACCAACCGTGACATTTTTTCCCTCTTAAAGCAACAGAATCATCTCTTGGGCGAACACATATCTGTTTAAGGGAAAACTTGGTGAAAGAAATGTCTGGGACCAAAAATATAATATAGCAATGCTGAGAATTTAGGGAGAGAGGTATGTATTTGCAGAGTATAAGAAAAGAGGCTAATGTATTTTTTAACTTTATTATTACAGGCTCAGGCAAAACAGTAAGGCACCTGCAAGCACAGTGGGGGGTGGGGTGGGGGTGAGGTGTCAAAGCCACTGAACAGCTGTTTTACTTTGAGTCTAGAGATCACCAAGATGAGGTCGCTAGTCCGCTGCAAAGCAAATCCAGACTCACCAAAATTTCTAAACGACACAGTGAAGAGAGCACAATCTGTCTCCCTGAGAAGTCAGTATAATCAGATAATGCACGCGTCAGAGGGGGTGACCATGCAAATTGCTTTTTTGCATCGAAAGAAGACTCTTGGTCTCAACACTTGATTCATTTCACTCTCCCACCCTCGCTTCCGCTCTTTGCTACACCCTTGACCTTCTCTGTTCAGTCTCTTTATTTTTCTCTCACTTCCTCTAGGTAGAGGGGATGACGTGGTTGGAATTAATGCTCCTGAACCAAAGACATTATTTCAACTATGTTTTTCACAACCATTTATTTACTGCTGTTTATTCAAGATTCATACCTTTGTCTATACAGGGGCATGATGAAGAATTTTTCCCCTATAAACATCCCCACATAAATTTCTGCATCCTTGAATGGTAGGCATGTTTTAAATTAACATATGCTGTATTATTAGTTTCAGAGGTAGAATTTAGTGATTCATCAGTTGCGTATAACACCCAGTGCTCATTCCATCAAGTGCCCTCCTTAATGCCCATCACCCAGTTCCCCCACCCTCCACTCCCCTCCCCTCCAGCAACCCTCAGTTTGTGCCCTAGAGTTAAGAGTCTCATGATTTGCCTCCCTCTCTGTTTTTGTCTTATTTTATTCTTCCTTCCCTTCCCCTACGTTCATCTGCTTTGTTTCTTAAATTCCACATATGAGTGAAATCATATGGTATCTTTCTCTGACCAACTTATTTTGCTTAGCACGATACCCTCTTGTTCCGTCCACATCATTGCAAATGGCAAGATTTCATTCTTTTAGATGGCTGAGTAATACTCCCTTGTATATATACACACACCACATCTTCTTTATCCATTCATCTGTTGATGGTCATCTGGGCTTTTTCCATGTTTTGGCTATTGTGGACATTGTTGCTATAAACATTGGGGTGCATGTGCCCCTTTGAATCACTATGTTCGTACCGTTGGGATAAATACCCAGTAGTGCAATTGCTGGGTCTTAGGGTAGTCCTATTTTTAACTTTTTGAGGAACCTCCATTCTGTTTTCCAGAGTGGCTGCACAATTTTGCATTCCCAACAACAGTGTAGGAGGGTTCCCCTTTCTCTGAATGGTAGGCATTAAAAAAAAAAATACTGGTAACTACCAAATTAAAAATTAAAAAAAAAAAGCTTACTTGCCCTTCTGAACAGAGTCCGATATTTCATAGTGAGCAGGACTGACTACTATATTTTGTGGGGTCTGGTGCAAAATGAAAGTGTGAGTCTCCTTGTTCAAAAATTACTAAGAATTTCAAGACAGTGACAGCAGCACATTGAACCAAGCAGAGGGCTCCTCTGAGGGTGGGGCTCTAGGTGAGAGCGCAGCTACTCACACACACCCACGGAGCCGGCCCTGCTGGAGGGTTTTTATGAATGAGAGCATACATGCATAGACAGGGCACAATTCCCTAGGCTGGTATAGAATTAACCAGAAATTCACGGTGAAAATGTAATAATGTGACCTCACAAAACAGTGCCAACATTCTGTGGTGGTTTCCAATACACTTCCTGAGAACTCACTCATTTATAATGACTGACACAGAGAAAATGCTGTAATTCGTTACAGCACCTGTGCCAACTGAGAATGGGGTGTTCTGGGTGATCTGTTCCCACATTTTTGGAACATAACAAAATACACTTAAAATGTGCCAAACATGGAAGGAACCTTGTCTTTGGAGATGTGCAGCATTTGTTTTCTCAAAAATACAGAAGGCTTCACGAATTTGCGAGTCATCCTTGTGCAGGGGTCAGGCTACTCTTCTCTGCATCGCTCCAGTTTTAGTATATGTGCTGCCAAAGCAAGTGCATGGAAGGCCTTTTGAAGTCGCCCTTCCCCCGGGGGCTGGAAGCATCTGTAATAAAGCATGTGGAAGAGCTCTGCGTGCTGGGAACCGTGATCCGCCTTAGCCACCGCGTCACTGTAACTGATCGACACAAGCGCGGGGTAAAGCCAGGTTTACAGCTGAGTGCATTCTGAAGAACAGGTTTCTCTGGTTCCAACAACTCAAATCACAGTCACATTTTTCTTTGTTAAGTGCCCCACACCTGCTACCCAAATGGTAGTTTCATTCTCTCCTGGCTCTCCTGCTGCTGGTTTCATGGACAACCCCCTCCCCCAACCCCTACCAAGTCCCCATCCAGTGTCCCCACCCCCTGTCCTCCTGGGCAATCTCTCTTCCCCTTGTGGTAATGGAGTCATTGTCCCATGTCCTTTCTTGCAGACTTGGCAGGATAGCAGTGGCATCTTCCTCTGCCCACACTTCTGCTGGCTTCAAAGTGGGGAGGGGCGTTTGTCCCCAGGAACGGGGAAGGGTCATTGACGGGACTCAGGCACACCTGTTTCCAGCAGGACAGTTGCAGGTGATGCAGCTTGCATTCCCTGGGGGCAAACACAAGCCACCATCACATATTTACACTTTTTCCTCAGTTGCCTACTCCAATCTTCAATCTAGCCTCACGTGAGCATGAGGCCTGCATTTATGAGTGTCGCTGCTTCAGAGATGAGGAAGCTGGGGACACTAAGAAGACAAAGGACTCTGACCAAGCACTGTACTACCTGACGCTCAGCCTTCATTCTGTACCGCCCACAAAACTTTGCTGCAAATTAAATCATAAAGCAGCAAGTGTTAACATTTTCTAGGAAATAATTATATTTACAAGACTGCAAATAAACTCATCCACTCTCCCTCTGGTTTTTCCTCCCTCCCCTCACCCCTATGCTGATTCACCTCCTTCTCACTCAAAACCCAATGGATGATCTAACTTCCTAGTCTTCTCTTCCTTCCTCTACTCAGATGCTGTCAGAAAACAGACTAATAAGCAAAAAAGCAGCAAACCCACAAAACTCACCAGCAAGGAGAAAGAAGCTAACCATCTCCAAAGAAGTTGGAAAGATTTCCAGAAAGTTAATAAATTTAAAGATCTAGAATTGTGTTGTCTAAATTAACCGGCAATGCTGTACCGACCTGTAAAAATTCAAATATCAAATGTGCCCACAGACCATTATAGTTTATAAAGCTTTTTCACATATACTAATGCACTTTAACTTCACAATATAGTATGACATGGATGCTATTATTAGACCCACTTTACAGAGGAGAAAACTGAGGCACAGAGCAGTTAAGTGACTGGCCCACAATTACTCAACAGGAGAAGTGAAGTCAGGTTTTCTGACCCGGGAGTCTGTGTTCTTTCCACTCTCCCACACAGTTGGTTGTTGAACTACATTTTCAGAACAATGCACCTGTATTTCTTCTTTTTCCAAATGACAAGAGACACAATTCAGAAAGAGCTACAAGCATAGTCTAAAGTCTTACAGCTTGGATATTCTACTGCTGCCAAATTTAGAAGTCTCTGACCTTCTTTCAAAACTTAAGTAGGTTTCAAATCAGTGGAGAAAATATGGATTATTTAATAAAAGAATCTAGGACAACTAGGAAGCTACTTGGGGGAAAGAAACTTGGATCCCATACCCCACTTTGTACACAAAAATAAATTCCAAGCAGATTAAAGATGTAACCATGAAAATAAAACCATAAAAAAACCTAAAGGAGAACACAGATTTAGTTTCCCTTTCAGAGTCTCAGAGTGGAAAAAGGGCTTTCCAAGTCTGACACAAAATGTAGAAGTCATAAAAGAGATCAATATATTGGCTACATAAAAAAATCCGTATGTTTAAAAAGCAGCACCATTAACCAAATCGAAAGTCAGAGGACAAATATGAGCAAGTATTTGCAACGTATATGCAGGAAAAAATTTTGTAATAGGTAACCAAATCCCACAAATCCGTAAGAAAAATACAACACACCCAGTGGAAAAATGGGCACAAGATATAAACGGATGGTTTGCAGAATTAGAGCCCTTAAAGAGACGGAAAAGATGCACGAACTCACTCATATTAAGGGCAATGCAAATAAAAACTCCACTGAGATACCTTTTTCCACACGTCCGATTGGCAAAGATCCCAAAGTCTGATAATACACTGGGTGTTAAGAGGACGAGGACGTGGGTCCATTCCCACCTCTTTGCTGTACGATCTAAGTGTAAATTGGTATATCCTCAATTTGTACAAATTGAACAATTTGTAGATGCGCAAGATCTATAAACATTTAAATGCACATATGGGGGATTTCCGCCAATTATCTGTCACCGAGGACGTATGATGAACCTAAACTTGGCTCCAAACCCCATGATGTCGCTCAGCACCAGAGCTGGAGGAGGCCAAGGCCAGAGCAGCCCCTGCCTATATGCTAAACAGACATTTAGTGAGTACCTGTGAGTATAAGTAACACTTAATGGTAAATTGGAAGAAATTGTATAATATACATGTTTTATGTATAGGAGACTGTGGCTCTGAGAAGTTAAGTTTCTTGTCCAAGGCCACACAGCTGCTAAGTGGCAAAGCCAGAACCCACCTCTTTCCCTACAGAACCGCTGCCTTCAGCAGCTTCCTTTGCCCCTTTATGCTGCCATTGGCAATCCCAAAAGCTCCATAAAAGGAGGGACCCATGTGACACAATGCTGATCCTTATAATTTGTTGATCCAATGAATGAATGGGGTAATCCTACACTAGCCTTTGCAGATAAAGAAGATGCCGCCTTTTCTCTGCACAGAGAAAAAAAAAATTACAGAGCAGGAAACGAAGGGGTGAGTTTCGGGAAAATACAAATATTCAGTCCATAACAATGGGCAACAAACAAAAGCAAAAGCAAAAACCCTGCTTACTTGCTACATGCGTACATTGCTACATAACTATTTGTTCTCTACGGAAAACTTTGGTTCAGATCCCTGACCATACAGAACAACTACCTGAGTTTTCAAAACATCAGGGATCAGTCTCCATCCCAGGCAAAGGGAGACTGAATCTCCAAGGCCAATGGTAGGGCTGAGCATCTGTGGTTTTCCCCAGCACCACAGTACCCTCCTGC